CGGTCTAGGCTATTAGTGCCATGGAAACCAATTATCGCTGACTTTACACACTGTGAATCTACAGGGACTATTGGTTTTAACATCTAGCAACATATACTCTTGCTTCTAATTTCCCTCCCATTTTTGAGGTAAATTTCCTGACAATTAAACGAGACTTTTCATATGTGCATATGTCTGATGCATCAAACACTATAGGTTTTCGTGCTCACGCAAAAGTGCACGTCTAAAAATAATAAACAAAATAACGAGTGCTACTAGCAGGACGAGGACAACCATAATCTTCTGTCTATTGCCTCATGTACCTGCTTGCAGAGAAGAAACCATCTAATGATCTCATTGGTTGGATGGAGAAAAGGCAACGCCATGTGGTTTACGTGTTAACATATTGAGATCTTTCTTCCCTGTAAAACGATGTCACCAAGCAATTAAAATTTTTTAAGAGGACTACCGACATCATAATCCATGGAGAAGCAGCTATAACCTATAACATACATTTTTTATGGGAGGAAAGGATACTTTTAGAATTCATAATCATGTAATACTGAAAATGTTATATCTATCATAAAGTATATAACATATGGCTGAACCAGAAGAAAATCGTTCGTAATCCATTCAACAAGTTATTATTGCCCCAATATTTTGGTTCACACTACAAAAAGCTAGCTTACACTTAATGGGAGACTTCTTTTTGAGGGTGATATAACTGTGCATAGAGTTCTTCATTGATTGTGATAGGCTTTCCATCCGAGCGTACGTCATTCTTGCTTACATAACACTTTTCCTAGAGCATTTACTTGAACCTATATAGATTTACATAAGAGGAACAAGCTCCATTACCTTTTCCAGTTGGTTGGTGTGAGAGTTATCTAATGTAAGATTTGATAAGAGATGATCCTGGTGCCTGGTGCCTGGTGCCTGGTGCCCTACAATCGAGTTGCATCCAATTAACTGAAACATTAACATGATGACATTTAGATGAACAAAATATGCAGCTGTTCTGTGCATTGATGGATTATATACACACTATGTTACTTTCATCTTACTTGTCAAGTATTCATGCAGTTTTACTTCACTTCCTCATCAGTGTAAGAAGAAAAACTTTCGTAGATAGTAAAGGTCACACGGGCTTTGGCATACTCTTAGTGAATCCTTTAGATTGAAACTTTTCATTGACCAAAGAAAAAGATTGTAACTTTTCCATAAGGGAAGTGATTTTCGCATTCCCTTTTCTCCTATGCACCGTTCCCTTTTTTTCTAACCTTAAAATTAGATAAATTAAAGAAAAATTAGTGCATAAAAACAAGAAACTAAGAGGCGTGAAAATCACTACCGTTTTAATAATTTCACCAGACTACATGAGAACCTTCAAAGTTCTTTTGGAAGACCATGCTTTCACTTTTTAAAGCAAAACAAATCTGATTAAGCTGCCTAAGATTCGCATCATTAGTCAAATCACTTGGAGAACCCAGACATATTAGGTAAAGATCAATAACAGAAAAATGTGGGGGTCTCTGGGAGACTTATTCTACTCTATGTCATCGGTAACATATTCCGTTAGTTAATTATTCAGTCTAACTTTTTCGCAATCTAAAAGCTTCCTTGCGTATTTAGTGCAGAAATTCTTTAATCATACTCTCAGCCCTTTCGCCTTTTAATACTAGCATTATTACCTCCTCAGTGCCCTTAGTGGAACCGCTATCATATTCCCTCCAACAACTCTGAACTGTGCACCTTTTGTTTTTCTTCTTCCCTTTTGCCTGTTGCAGTTGACTATACCACTTCCCTTTTCTATTTTTTTTTTTCAGTTAAGATGTCAGATTCTAAAGTTCTTGCGGAATTCAGGGTAAGCAAGAATGACATGCGCTTGGATGGCATTCAGATTAGAAACAAATGATAGATAACTAATACTTGATTCGATTCGTATCCGAGCGCATGTCGTTCTTGTTCAACAAAACTCCGTATATGTCATCCTGATTAAACAATTCATCTGTTAGGGTTTGAATCGGCCGGTTCATATAACTCACACCAGATAAGACCCTTAACTCATTATCTTGCTAACTCTTCCCTTGAAGTAGTCTTACTAATCTCCATTACACCATCATAATTAACCAAGGTAAATCTGGAAATTTACAAATCACAGACGTATACCGGATGAACTGGAACCCTTAATCTATTCTAGTCATTACCCAAATATGAACTACTTTACATTGTTCATTATAATGATTAAAGTAATGTGAACTACTTTACATTGTTCATTATAATGATTAAAGTAATGTGAACTACTTTGCATTGTTCATTATAATCTTTTGAGCTCCCTATCACTGTTACACGAATTCAACCAACATGGAAGTATCATAAAAAAAAAAAAAAAAAAAAAAAGAGTAATCTTAGAGAGAGCAACTTTTTAAACCAAATTTTATAAATCATATGATGTGGTTATTGATGATTGAATTATTACTTAAGTATTGATTAACGTGTTTATTTCTTATCTGTGACATGTCATATGGTTTGTAAATTTGGTCTAAAAAGTTGATCTACCTAACATTATTTTAAAGAAAAATATCATTCAGTAACAATTAGGGTTGAGTTTGGTTTTATTCCAGGTTTTTTTTCAGTTTGTTTTTATTTTGGTTTTTTTTTTTTCAATTTTTTTTGTTTTTGTTTTTAACCTAGGAATTGAGAGAAGAAGAAGAAAACTCTAGAGAATAAGGCTTTCAACATATTTGGGCCTAAAGTTGGGTTTTACAAATTAGACTAATGGTTGACTTGGAATTGGCTTAGAAAATGAAAACCCAACATAAATAAATAAAAAATATAAGTTATATCTCATTTGGTTTAGTTTGTTTTGATTCGGTTTTTGAACCACCAAAATCGAAGCTGAACCATAATTTTTTATTTGGTTTGTGTTTTTTTTATTTTTTTTGTTTCCATTCAATTTTCAATTTTGATTTGATATTCGTTTTACCTTTTTTATTTTCATTTTTTCGAGTCCACCCCTAGTTATGATATCATTATCCTAGCTATAACGATTGTTAGTTGCATAAGAACCCATAGGCAAGCCGTTTAGTGGGAGAAATTTTTTATTGTAACGGGAACACAAGTGGTACATCACATGTTTTAATAAAAGTTGTGAGAAATTTTTATAGTGATACGCCTCTTTACCAATCACACTAAAAAATATCTCTTGTAGAGGAGAGATTATTGGGTAGACCGTAGAGGCTTCCGTTCCCCGTCATTTGTACACTCAAATACACATGAAAAATAAATCCGCTACATTTAGGTCCACACAAGCCCATTTTGGTATCGAATTGTCATTGGTGTAGGTGTCAGGTTGACCCAAAAATAAAAGCATCCAAGTCAAACACACCTCGAACAAATCAACATCCAGCCAGCCAAAGAAGGTCACATCCTTCTCTCTCATCGCTCCGTCGCCTGCTGCTCTCCAAGCAGAGGAGCAAAAGCACTTTTCAGCTTCCAACGATGGAGGAGCTAGAAAGCGTCACCACCACCAGCCCGACCCAATCGGGCCAACCCGAATCCCAACCCCGAGCCCAGCTCCCCCACTACTGGGGCACCACACCAGAGCAAGAATACTACAATCTCCAGGGCATCAAATCCTCCAAATCCTTCTACACCTCCCCCAGAGGCTTTAAGCTCTTCACCCGCCAATGGCTCCCCCTCCGCCGTCCTCGTGGTATCATCTTCATGGTCCACGGGTACGGCAACGATATCAGCTGGACCTTCCAAGCCACCCCGATCTTCCTCGCCCAAAACGGTTTTGCCTGCTTCGCTCTCGACCTCGAGGGCCACGGCGGCTCCGACGGCCTCCGCGCCTTCGTCCCCGACGTTGGCCTCGTGGTCAACGACTGCCTCTCGTTCTTCAATTTGGTCAAACAGCAGGACCCCCAATTTCAGGGACTCCCCTGTTTCTTATACGGCGAGTCCATGGGCGGCGCGATTTGCCTCCTCATCCACTTCGCCGCCCCGGAGGCGTTCCAAGGCGCGATCTTGGTTGCCCCCATGTGTAAAATCTCCGATAAAGTAAAACCCACATGGCCGATTCCGGAAATTCTGACGTTCGTGGCGGGATACTTGCGGAGATTGGCGATCGTCCCGACCGCCGACCTGATGCGGAAGTCCGTTAAGGTGGAGGAGAAGAAGATCGTGGCCGATATGAATCCGTCGAGATACCGGGGGAAGCCGAGGCTGGGGACGGTGGTGGAACTGCTGAGAGTGACGCAGCACGTGAGCGAGAGATTGGGGGATGTGAGTCTTCCGTTTATTGTGTTGCACGGCAGCGCAGATGTGGTGACGGACCCGGAGGTGAGCAAGGCGTTGTATGCGGCGGCGAAGAGCGAGGATAAGACGTTGAAGATTTATGAGGGGATGATGCATTCGCTGCTGTTTGGGGAGACTGATGAGAATGTGGAGGTTGTGAGGGGAGATATTTTGGGTTGGTTGAATCATCGGTGCGGAGGAGGCGGCCGCGGCGGCGAAAGAGATGAATGACTTGAGATTATTGCATTAATTATTGATTGAAATACTGAAAGGATAGGTGCATTATATATTGATGAACATGTATTGCTGTCATGATTCTGCGTTTTTTGTGTGTATTATTTGTTCTATATGTTAATTAAGACATGTCCAGAGTTGGATTCTCAGGATGCTCTGGACTCTCAGGGTTCGATTCCCACCCTTTCGAGGGAGAACTCCTGCCCTTTGAGTGAGGGAGAGTAGGATAATGAGGATACGCGCACTCCGCCTAGTACTCCATTCCTACTCTTTCCAACGGGAGGAAGGGTGAGGAGTATAGTTATATCCACTTGTAAATAAAGTCTCAAATTCGACTCACTCAGGTCTCATACTCATTCAACTGACGGGTTTGATACCTGATTATTATGATTATCAAAAGCCGAAAAATCCCAAGCCGTGATCTCATTTCATCGCATCTCAAATTGTCATTCACCATCAGCGTTAATTAAGATTAATCACTAAATCAATTTTCTAAGAATATAAACCTTTGGATTAATCATCAAATTTCACCAACACGAAACAAGCAAATTTTACATCCCAAACTTTCTGTACTCTCTACGAATTACAAATTAAAGAGACAAATCTTCACATCTTTCATTGCTTTAGACTACCTACTCCACATCCTATACAATATGATAACGAACGACGAGGACGGGTAAAGAATAGAAATTGTTAAATGAATGATCATGTGATTCTATACAGACTATTAACATAATCTTCTAGTTGATAGCCCCATACGCTACTTTTTAGATCTATTGTCAGATAGTCTTCGAGTATCAATCCCGCTGCTGCCAATGCCAAAAAAAAAAAAAATAACTATCGACGATACCTTTTTGTGTGTTAGCAAGCCAAAATCTCCTCGACCTATAAAAATCTCTCTCTAATCACATCATAAACAGGTACTTAAGATCCTCTACTGTCAGGCGAGTCTGTCCACCACCCGTTTTATCCTCTCCAAATGCAGACGCAACCATCTCTCTCTTCTTTTGCTGTGGAAATCAACCGTATGTATCATAGTATCAGAATGGCAACGCACAGATGGTGTTATCAGTCTAACAGCGAGATATACAAGATCATGAAAAGCACTCAACCATTCTTGCTAGTCCCGATCCTGACATGGGAAAGGGATAATATGCAAGAAATATGCCAGAAAGATCCTGACATGGGAAATGGATAATATGCAAGAAAGTTATTGTGACGATGGAAGGTTTCACTAAACAATGACAGTACCTGAAGGGCTAAAATACGATCTTCAACGGTGTCTTTAACAGTCAAACGCAAAACTGTAACAGGACGGGTCTGCCCAATCCGATGAGCTCTATCAATTGCTTGATCTTCTGTGGTAGGATTCCACCAAAGGTCCAAAAGAAGAACATGACAAGCTGCAACCATGTTGAGACCAAGACTAGCTGCTTTCAAAGACATAATCATGACTGTCACCTACAAGAATCAGGGTCAAACTTCAGAACCATCGCGGACAAATGAAAATACCAACTAAAAAAATTACTTCAAAGATTATTAATGAATTCAAGATATCCTATTATTTCCACAAACCTCTGGAAGGGTGTTAAAATCCTTGACAGCTTTATCCCTAGCTGTTACTGACATTGTTCCATCGAGTCTTCTGTACTCAATGGAAGATGTTTTAAGACATGCTTCAAGCAAGTCCAGCATCCTCGTCCACTGTGAAAAGACTATTGCTTTCTCTCTAACTACCTTCTTTGTATTCTTAGAGCCCACCACCACATCCAATTTCTGACTCTTAGGAACGTCCTCAAGTGGTTCAACCACAGAAATATCGGAAGAATTTTCAGAACAGCTGGCATTTCGATCAACTCTGTCCTCTAAGCAACTATTTCCAGAAATGCAACCCTGTGGTTTACACATTGAGCACAGAACCTCAAGAGCAGCCTTAATCTTGGAAGAATTGTATGAGCGATCCTCGTAGAAAGTCTCTACAGCATCAAAAACTTCAGAACCAATGCTTTCTGGATTAGTCTGGTCAGAAAGAGAACTGTTCAAAGTGGCTTTTGAAAACACTGAAGAAGCGTGGAGTCGAACTTTGCAATTTGTGTTTGGGCACTGGTTATCATCACCGGTGAGATGTTCATTAATGCATTGGCTACAGAAGACATGACCACATTCGGAAACAACAGCGTCTTCAGGTGGATCCTAAGAAAATAAAAACGTAGGTGTCAACAGGACATTTCCCCTAAGGAATGGTCTAAATGTTCTATAAAATTTAATCAATATTAACTTTTAAGACAATTCCTAACTTATTCTAAAAGAATCAAAAGATTCCCAACTGTAATCACCGCAAAAATTAAGAAAAAAATTTTGTAAAATAAACATAAGATATAATTCCTTTGACAATTATACAATATTTTCACCTCAAATTGCATTTATAAAGATACGAGAGTAGTGTCAAATTTAATATGCTCAGCATGGAAGGTCCTTCAGAAAAGAAAAGTATGCTCCACAAGAAAGTACATCACAATAACACAGTACCAACTATGTACATTAATTTGGAAGATCAGTAAATGCCATCCAACCATTTTAAAATACAACTATGAAATAAAAACAAAGGTTGAACACTTACACTGCAGATGCCACATATCGCCAAAGAAGCTTCTAAGCAATTCAGAAGGGATTGTTGTTTATCAAGAGGAAGTTTCTTTGCCTTCTCAACTGAAGATCTCCATAAAGAATTTGAATCATACCGTCTAACAAGAAGAGGGTGATCACAAGCTTGTCGAAGACGCAAAAGCATCAACAAAATGTTAACATAATTTTGTTTGACAGTTCCCGCAGCTGCATATTCCTGACATGTGAAGCAAATATATTTAAGAAAATGACCAAAATGAATTAAACATGGATACCACAAGCTCTGAATAAAAAAATAGAAAAGAAAAAGAAGCCAAAAGTCTCCTTTCAAGAGGAAAAAAGGGGCACATCAGAAAAATAAGAAAGCAAAACTGCTATCAACCCCAATATTAGCTTTGCACTAAACCATACTTCAAACTGAGCACGTGAATCAGCCTCTAGCCTTGAGTAGAAATCTCGTTCTTCCTTCGAAAACTCCACTCTTTTCAATTCTATGGATTTAGGTGGTAAATTAATAATTGGTTGTCCATCAAGAAGTGTGCCTACAGCAAAAAACTACCATCAGATGGAGATAATCAATGCTCATTAAATGGATGTCAACAATAAGAATTCCAGTGGAAACAAAATGATGAACACTTGGTTTTAATGTAAAAGCAAGTTCTGAAAGGAAATGCCTTGTGAATTCAATTCACATCACAGAACTTAAGCTTAATAAATAGTAATATATACCAGCAAATAAGAGTGACTGGTAAGAGACAGTTCACTCGTGGCTAAAATCAACACATACCCAATGAATTTTACAAAGGCACGAAAAAAAACAACCAAGTAAAATTTTCGAACTAAGACTATTTTTATTCAAGGAGACACAATCAATGAGCAGAAACAATATATTTGGTCCCACCTTTTGTGCGGCGTAACATAATTGTCTTCAGTACAGCTTGAAGTTTTCTGTACCCTTTTGTTGGATTCCTACTAATTGGGACCTTAATTGTAGAGATAAATGACTTGTATACAGCATAAGGGTCATATTTGAGAAATCTGAAGTAGCTATAAAGGTCATCAATTGCATTCTGGATAGGAGTGCCTGATAAGCACCACCTACGTTTAGCGCGAAGACCCCAACAGGCCCTAGCTACTTGAGTTCTGTGATTCTTAATACTTTGAGCCTCATCCAGAACAACCCTAAACCATGCAACCTTAGCAAGAGGGCGAGCAACAGACTCGAGCACAGCACTTTCTAATCCCTTCTTACCTTTTGAACCTTTATTTGAGGAACTTTGAGGGTATTTCCTTTTCTTACTGGAATGTGGACCATCGTACTCGTCTCGGTTTCCTTTCTCCTCATCATCGTCATCAACAAGAGGTTGCTTAGGAACCTCCATGCTGACAATTGAATAAGTTGTGAGGACAACATCATGCTTAGCCAGCTCCAAAGGATCCCTTGTCCGGTTGCTTCCATGGTAAACTAGCACCGAGAGATTAGCTTTTTCAGTTACCTTATTCTGCAACTCCTCGGCCCATTGCCGGAGGACACTCGTGGGACAAACAACAAGTGTTCCAGCAGCTGGCCTTCCCTTTGCTTGTATCAAAGGTTTTATGCTCTCGTTTGGAGTTCCATTTGAAATAACTTCATGGGCATCAGCATGTTGCTTCCTTCCACCAATCTCAAAATGCATATCATTATCATTGTCCAAATCCAGAGTTTCCAGCTTTTGCTTTTTTACATCTTGACAAGCTCCATATGAAGGCCTTTCCTTAAGTATAAGTGCAATTGTCGATATTGTCTTTCCTAATCCCTGAAAAATGAAGATCACATATACATAATTATATTAGGCACAAGTACTTGAAAGATGGAAGTGGTGATAGCTAATCATTACTGAATAGTATAAACCTGATCATCCGCAAGAATTCCTCCAGAACAGTGCAAACTAGCTGTCTCTTTCTGAACCATCCATGACAATGCAATTCTCTGCCCACAACATGAATTAAATTAGATGGACCCTTTTCCGTGCATTCACCACAGACACATATATATGCAAACCAGGTGTCCAAAACAATTAGTCACTGGTTCAAATAAAACTAGACTAGGCACAATGCGACGGACTCCTTAGAAGGAAAGAAAAACAAAACAAAACAAACAACTATTCCAAATAACAAGTTGCTTATGACTTTTTAGCAAAAATAAAAACAAATCATAACATTTAATTGGTATGCCAAAACACTTAATTAGCAGATGAAATAATCCAACTTCTAATTTAAGCTTGAAGATTTTGATTCCGTAACAAGAACCATATGGTAAACCTCCACAAATTATTCAATAGAACATGTGAAACTGGAAACTTTCTTTCCTGTCTATTGAAATACAGTAGAATAACCCTTTAATTTACCTAGCATTAAGGCAAAAACTATTCAAGGCACAATTGCCTTTTTATAGGTTGTTCATATTATATTTATCTAGAATAAAAGTCAAAAGAGAGGGTACAATTTAAAACCTGATGTCGTAACAGAGGAACTGCCAAAAGTCCATCTGGTGGAATAGCTTCTGACTTGGGCTGTGAAAGGTCCTGCACACAAAATTTATCTCACAAGATTTCAGATCTCAACTTCAGTGATGGGCACAAATTCTCACTTTTTCTTACTAAAACAAAGAACCAAAACCATATATAGGACATAATTCAGGCACACGATAGCATTTTGAAACATATTTCCAAAAACTTGCCATCAAATTATGAATTCTAATGACCCATTTTGCAACATAAAGTTACTTGATCAGTTAACAATTTGACACAGAAAAAGTGATCCATCTTATGATATGAAGGCTGCTTAACAAATCAACAATTTGACGCAAAAAAGTAATCCATAATATAGCTACTTGATAAATCAACTATTGAATGCAGAAAAAGTGATTCAGCTTAGGGTACATTTAAAAGAAAGAAAGCAAATCTCTGATTCAATTAAAAGGGCCACAAGACCCATGAACTGATATAGGCATTGTGGGAGGCATGAGATTTGAGACTAAATTGACAACATCATGCTCGTTCAGGGGGGTAAATGGCAGTTTACTCTGATAACAAAAACAATATTAAGGTTAGGGCTAACCTGCAATGCTACTCTCAAAACCAATTGTTCATCTCGTGTCTTGAATCTCATGCCTCCCACTCCTCCGTAATGATCACTCGGCATCAATTGTTGTGAATTAACAACAGTATTTCCAAGTGCTGGAGACTGTTTCATGGGCGCAGCGTAATTAGTATTGCTAACCACTGAAGAGCGACTTGAGGGTGCAGGATGACTGATATGTTCAATAATACATACATCAACGTCATCATCTGCAGGGGATTTGTCAGAGAAGTTACTATGAATTGATTCAGGGCTGACTTTCGAAGGGTGCATGCTCTTAGAATGAGTGACTATATCCTTCATGTAACCCTGACTCTTGCATGAAGTGAATGACTGAGCACCTTGAGAATAGGCATTTGAATTCACAGATTGTCCATCAACAGGGGATGTGGAACTTCCATGCTTAATATCTTGAGAAAGACAAGCTCTCTTACATGCACCAATCGTGACTTCTTCATTATCCAATGAGTTACCAAGATTCTGTGTTGATATACCAAAACCAGACTGCTTGAAGTCTTTCTCAAAAAAGTGATCATGAGCACTAAAAGAAGACTGTCTACTGACAGCTTCATCCATGCCTCGAAAAGAATGACACATAACACTACTTGGAGCAACAAACTCATCATTCTTTTCATCCTTCACACCAATACTTTCCTTTTTGCTTGACATGTATGTCTGAGTAGAACTCAAAGGCTCAACTGATGCCTTATTGTCAACAGGAAAAGAGTCAGCATCGAATGAAGAATTTCCACTGATTGCTGACATACAATTACCATATCTCAAATTCCACTCCTTTCCATCTAAAACATCAATCATTGACGGCTCAAAAACAGATCTACCAGTTATCACCTCCTGACCATTTAAATTCATCTTGCTAGTTGAGCATGAACTATCAGCTGGAAACTCCCCTGATTCATCCTTCACATTAGCCATCATTTCTTCATTAATCGGAAAATAATAACTGGTAGGACTATGATGCATTAAGACATCAGTGAAATATGTATTATCTAAGCTCATGCCACACATAGCAGTATAAGGGTCACTGAAAACATCAGAATTTTGACAGAGAGTAGAGCATATTTCCATAGAAGTGCAGGAATTATTTTCAGATGGCCCCTAAGGTTTCCGTGGTATTTTGTCCCAAAGTGAAATAGGTTCTGGAACGTAAGCCCATGTTCTCAATATCGAGGCACTGCAAAGCATCTGCAATCAATCATCAGAAGACATAAATTTGTGCTTCCACCTCAAAATTTAAAAACAATACAAAACACATATGTAATGATCTACATCAATAACTTCAAAAGCCCAGAAAAAATGCAATTCTCTAGTCTATAGCAAATATGAAATTTAACATACATTCAGATTCAGCTTTCCCAGGCACATCAACTTCCCTCTGCAGGACATTCAGATCTCTGTGGTCCAAAACATGGTTGGCATGCCCTTCAGAAATACTAGACGACATACTACATGGCTGTGAAACTGCAACCCTCTCTGTAAAGCAAGTCTCATCGCTTGGAACCAAGGAAATCCAGTCTTTAAGACTCATAGAGTATGTATGCCCCAGAGAGCCAGTGTTTGCTGATGGTTGCATTTCTTTGTAATCAAAATTCATTTCATGGTTCCCTTTATAATCAAAAGAGCCATCAGGACCCCCTGCCCCAGAGTGCGAAGCTTCTGAGCTGTACGGATGATTCCACGCACCTGGACCCATTAAATCAGTTTCTATTGGTGGTTCTTCTTTTACTGCTTGGGATCCTAAACAATCAACAGAGAAATAAGCAATCAGATGTGGTCAAACACATATGTTGCCAATATAGAATCATAGATGTTCCAGAATACCACAACAATATAGAAGATAACGATGCCCTACTACAAAACAAAGCTGAGAAAACTATGTCATATATGGGAGAAACAATAAAACATTAAAAAAGCTATAAAGTCAAAACAAAATACTAACCACTTAGGAGCTGAGCATCGGAAACTTCTTCAGCGTCCAATTGATTTTCCAACGACAAATCCTCTGGACAACTCTGCGGTTAATCCTCAAAAAGTTCCGCATTAAAGAAAAACAGGTGGGGCTAATAATTAATAGAGAAAAACATGAACACGAAAAACGAAGACATATGTAAGTCTTATCTAAACTCAGTGTCAACAAAAAAGTGCTCGATGAAATGCTCAAATGCCTAGTTAATTAAATGTAGCAATAAACAAGAACAAGAAAGGCATGTGTGAATTTATCTACAACAACAAAACGATGTGTGAATATGCTCATAAACCCCTTTGGTGCTTCCCCTTAGTAAACCCATTTCTACTAGTAATTTAAGCAGAAATTCGATCATTCTTATCCACAACACAATGATTTTTTTTCACTAGTAACCAGCTGAGATTAAGTGTTTCCACTAGAATTGCATGCAAATCCTTCAGCATGCACAAATACATACACGTACAGACTACAAGCTCAATCTTAAGTCGCACCCAATGGAATCGAAAACCCACTCCCGCAGGAATCCCAAAACCCCCACAAGATTGCCTTATCTTTCACACCGCAGCCAAACATCGCAAAAAATCAAAGCTCCCAACACAAGCTGCAAACAAGTTCAATCCTTTCCTATACAGTTGTAGTACCAAAAATTACCGTGGGTTCTTCATCGAGAAGGCGATAGAGCGTGTCGACATCTATGCACATCTCCTCGTCTTCGTCAAATTCCTCGCCTGCAAATCCATCGACGGCCGGTAACTCTCCCCAATTCGAGCAGTCCTCCGCCTTCAACATACTGTGAAACCCTAACACTAGCTTGCTCGCACCTTACAAAAAATCCCTAACCAGAACCAGAAGCAGTCAAATTACACTCGGAATTCCGAAACAAAAACCTGGATCCGAGCAATTGCAATCGCATTCTCAACGAAGCCGCCGAGAAAATCCAAAGAAATCGAGCGCGCAGAGAGAGAGAGAGAGAGAGAGAGAGGCAGAGTTCGGATCGTTGTCGATGTGAAGGCGTCTGAGAAAGTTCGCAAGGCGACTTTTGGTTTTATTACTTTGTTTTATTTATTTATTTATTTTGCTTTTCGTCGACAAAGTCTCGCACGGATCGTGAAGAATGCGGTGGCGCAGGTTTAGATTGGGTTTTGGGGATTTGGATTGGAGGGGTGCGCAGGTTAACGACTCGTTCCCTCCTTTTTTTTTTTTTTTTTTCATGGGGGATTTCGTCGGGAGACGTGTCGGTTCGTATACATATTTCGCCGTCGTTTGGTTTTCCTGCTTGAACTAGGAATTTTTTGGGTTAAATGATTTTGATTTGATTATTCGTAGAGGTGACGATGTTTTTTTTGTCTCTTTTACAACCGACATAAGCATGAAAGAAAAAGAAAGATTATATGAAAATATCACGTGATCATAAAACTTCAGTTATATCTATAACTATTGACCGATAATACAAAAGAGAAGCACGTTCAAAAAATATTGATAGAAAACAAACTCACACCGATACTCACTTGTTCTAATTGCTAAGGTACTATGCAAGATTTCCAAAACCTAATTTGTTTTCTTTACGAATAAATTTCATACTGGAAATAGGGGTATGAACTAAATCACGCAATGAATTTATTATAAATTGAATATGAGGTAAGTGAGGTTAAATAAGAAACTCGAAAATGTTACAATAATTTAAAGAAATAGGGGGTTTTTAATTCAATACGCATGGATAAAAACTCAATATTCTATCTACTAAGATATTAAACCATATCCTATAGATGGAGTGATGAGTTTCTATCCATGTATGCATTCGAAACTCCTTCATTTAAATTATTGTAATAATTTCAAACTTTTCTTTAATAATAATCAAATTAAAAAATACATTAAGTGGGACTGGTAATTTGTGCCTTGTGGTGTATATTAGGCGGAAAGTACCGGTTATACCTAACCGGTCCGTTTTCGCGCCACTAATGTTGTACCTGCTTTTCTTATACTTTTGGAATTTTCTCATTCTTTTTATTACTTGGGGGTCTTTCTATTTATTTGTTTTTTCAACAAAAGATATTATTTATACTAAAAGAGAGAAGATAAGTTTAGTCTTACAATGGACTAGTAATAATATGGTTCAAATTTGTCTTTGACAAGAATCGAATCTAAAACATTTACAAGTGTGAAATTTTTTTTCGAGAGCAGCAATTGAGAATCTCCATAAACAGAACTCAGGCAACCGAAACTTCATAGTACGGTCTATTTGAAGGTAGTTTAAAATGGCTACGAGGTTTTATGACAACGTTTAATAGAAAAAACTTGAAAATACAAATAAAAAAAGAATTTCATTGCTCTAGTCTCCAATGCTTTTATACTTAAACTATTAGAACAAATTTATAATGCTTCAAACAATCGTTTATGAGGAGAAGTATTTTACGTAGAAATAGACGAGCCATCCTTTTCGTGGACATTCTTTGTTCTCAAGCCCTTAGCCATGAACTCGCCTGCAGATCAAGATGTAGCCCGAAACTAAAGCCCGAACCTCGATTCGGGTTTTAAAACCCTACGGTTCCGTGAGCCCAAGTGGAATATAAGATTTGAGTGCATGCTCACGTGACACGTCAAAATTCAACCCAAAACCCGACCCGCTCGAGGTCAGGGCCCAATTAAGGGGAACCCGAGAACAGTAGCCAGAGTGAAAGGTCAGAGAGCAGCGAGAAGAAAGGGATCGCCGGAATCCCAATCACTCGCGCACACTCACACCCAAATCCCGAACCAATATACATATACAGACGCAATCGTCGCAAACCCAGCTACCCAGCAAACCCAGCACGCTTCGAAGGTACCTTTTTACTTCACTATAATTTTCTCGGCAAACAAACACTTTTCTTGGATTAAAATTTTCTCGGGAATATTATCACTCGGCTACAGTTGTAGGGTTTTTGGCGAGTCTAGGGGTTCTTGTTGCGATTTGAATCGGTGTTCAAAATTTGACAGGACGATTTGAAGGAAAGTAGTTGCTGGAGTTGAATAAATGGGCTTCGAGGCCGTGCACTGATGTCCCTGTTCTGGATTGTTGTTCATCAGCTTGCAGAGATCGAAGCAATGGTAAAGTTGAAATCTTGTTGTCGATTCTAATTTCTCTGTTTTAGCTGCTTAATTTCGAGTTTATAGAACGAGATTACGAGGTTGATTTGAGGTTGAATATGCAGTAATTAGGTCAATAAGCATTGCCATTGGCATGTTAAATCTGTATATCATTTGTATTTTTGTGCACAGGCCGCGTCGAAGAAAGTCATAACGAGGGAAGAGTGGGAGAAGAAGCTCAAGGATGTAAAAATTAGGAAAGAAGACATGAATAAATTGGTGATGAACTTCCTTGTCACTGAGGGTTATGTGGATGCTGCTGAGAAATTCCGTAAGGAATCTGGAACCGAACGTATCCTTTTGTTTCCGTAGTGTAATGGCCTACTCTTATAATTGAGACATTGCTGGTGTGATTCATTTTGTACTATATGTTGTGGTGTTTCTCCTTATCGGTATATAGCAGATATTGATCTTGCAACAATAACGGAACGCATGGCTGTCAAGAAGGCAGTACAATGCGGTAATGTGGAGGATGCGATTGAGAAAGTGAATGACTTAAACCCTGAGGTGGGATGTCAATTCTCAAATCTCCATGTTTTGTTCATGGAGTCTATACTTTTGATACCATTGATGAAAAACCTTTGTCTTTTCTTTCCTTTGATGGATCTTATTGCTTTCTTTTATTCGGCCTTGCCAGTATCAAAGTTTGGCCTTGCATATCAAGTTGGGCAATTAGTTGGAATGATCAGTTTTTGACCTTTGTTTTCAGAAGTGATTGGTTTTTTGTAACAACGACATGTTGATCATATATCGATGACATAACGATCACACATCGATGATATAATGACGACATGGTAAAAACAAATCATTTCTGCAACCAAACGTAAAAAACTAATCATTCCAGCTAATTGCCCTATTAAGTTTGGAAGTATAGTTTGAATAATTGTGACTCGTGTGTGTCGTACAAACTATACATAAGGTTAACTGCCTCATTTGAATTCCCTTTGGAATTGAGGTTGTATGAATCATTGCTACATATTTTCATAGATTTGTGAATCAGGACATCAGGTTGAATATGCAGCATCATTGGGTATATGATGTAGCGATAAACTCCAACCACAAAGTTGCTGCATTCAACCTCGTAGAGTAAAAATATGCACATAACAAATGCAGACCTGGTATTACATGGGTGGTTTACACTTTACAGTTACTTGTTTTGGTTTGTTTTTCTTGACATGCATGTACTTTAATGTGACATTCATTCGTAGGGAGGGTTCGTTTCCTCCTTTATATGATGTTTTATTTTCTTGCTTTATTTTGATCTCTTGTTTATATTAATGATGGCTCACAAGTAGTTTGTCACCTAATCAGAGTTCGTATCCTTTGATTTTTTTTATTTATCTTTAATGAGCATCCTGTTATTATTTCGATCGTAATCTTTATTAAAATTATTTAAAATATCTGTGCAAATTCTGTCTGCAGATTCTGGATACAAATCCTCAATTATTTTTCCATCTCCAACAGCAAAGGTTGATAGAACTAATTCGGAATGGAAAAGTCGAAGAGGCTCTTGAGTTTGCTCAGGAAGAGCTAGCACCAAGGGGAGAAGAAAATGTAAGATTCGGCCCATTGCAACTTTCCTTGATTGACTATCATGTGTATAATTTGATTATTTATTATTTAAGTTCCTTCCGGCTTCCTCCGTAACTCCATCCAACTGAATTGTGTTCGCTGTGTTGTTCGTATTATCTGGTCCTAAGTAGTACTTATCAATACTGTTATGTGCAGCAAAGCTTTTTAGAAGAGTTGGAGAGGACTGTTGCACTGCTAGCTTTTGAAGATGTGAACAACTGTCCCGTCGGAGAGCTTCTCGACATATCACAGCGCCTAAAGACAGCAAGTGAGGTGAATGCAGCCATCCTTACCAGCCAGAGTCATGAAAAAGGTTAGTATGTTTGCTAAACTTTTATTTGTTCTAGTTCCGGAGGAATTCTTCCATGAGCGTCTTTGAGACGAGACGATTAGATCTTTGAAAAAACATTTGATTGAGTCTATGCTAATCCAATACAAATCTCCATAGAGGCTAATAACCATCATATATTTCGCTGTTCTGTCACAGATCCGAAGCTTCCAAGCTTATTGAAGATGCTGTTATGGGCTCAGAACCAGCTTGATGAAAAAGCCGCTTATCCTCGGATAAACGATCTTTCCACTGCCAAGCTAGAAGACCCTACCGTCTAGATGATCTCCAACCTCCTTGCATGGAGAGATGGAGGATTAGGTTTCGTCTAGGCTTTCTCATGGGATGTCAAATGATGTATGTACCTTTGTTGCGAAAAATGACTATCTACACTCCTCTCAGATGCTGTTTCATTGCGATCTTTGTTTCCATTGTTGTTGAGAGATTGTGGATTATTTCTTTGGCTGTTTAAGGTGTAACATAAACAAATGATATGATTAACGCGACGGAGATTTAAATTGGGGTAGAGGTTTTTCGTCAAGTGATATAATTTAGCCCGAGAGATTTAAATTTGGGCACGCTGCTCCGACCAATTGACTTAACTTGGATTCATTCATCGTTTGGACAATGACCATGCTTTTTGAACAAGCATGGGATTTTTTAACACAACACAAAACTAATTAAAAATAAAAATAGAACAGAACAATTTACTTTCCTCCGCCATATTATTCCAAAAACATCACTCGGAAATCACCCAAAGAATATAAACCCACCCAGAACTGCAGATATCCGAATCCGAATGATGCTGAGGTCTTGCATGTTTGAAAGCAGCATTTGCGCCTCCCTCCCCCGATTTCCAGCTTCCATCGTCGAAATTCAGGGCGTAGCTCGAAGGATCATACTGGAACGTCCTCAGCCGCTGCTTCCCAGAATTCTTGATAGCCTTCCTCAAAGCGGCTCTAACTCTCCAGAACAAGCTCCTGCACTGCTTCCTGCTGGATGCATTCACCCAAACCAACTTTCCCACTAACCCCATATTCATACGTCAAAAACCGAGGATTAAACTCTCTTTTTTCCACTTTTTTCTGAAGAATTTGAGAGATGGGTTGCAATTTTTCCTTGTGGAAACTGGAAAGGCATAAAAAGGAGGAGAAGGAAGCTTTTGGAGAAAGGTTTAGATGGTGAATGCAATCTTTTTGGTCTTTCAAAGTAGCTATGCAGCTTGAGCTGCAAGCTGCAGTCCTACTACAAACTGATATACTTTTTTTCTTGAAAGTTACGTTGGGATGCTCAAATTCCGCTCTAAAGAGAGAAACGAGAGAGAGAGAGAGAGGAGTTACAGTGGACAGAGGGCAGTGGCAGTGGGCAGAGAGCCGAAGGTCGTATCACTATCACAGCAGCATGTGGTTGTCACAAATAACGAATCAATTATTTCACGGTTTTTTCTCGGTTTTTACATTTTTTCCCTATTTGAAGCCATATGACCATCTCCTTTATTAGGAATTTTTACATGACCTTAAACCCTCTATAGCCCCTAGCAATTAGTGAAGCCTCAACCTTGAGAAGTGCTATTACTTACATTTTTCAGTACGACACCATGACATTCTAAACAAATAACACAATCTTTTGTGTTTCTAAATAATATTACAGGAAAACTAATTAAAATTGTTTGAAAACTTTGAATTTTAACTATAAAGACAAAATAAATGGTAAATTAAACAGTACCAGAATTGACTTTTTAGTGTAAAAATATGGTTTTTCGTTAAAATAAACAGTACCGGGAGTTTTTTGTTAAAGTTCTCAAATAATATTCCGCTATTAGTCCGACATGTTAGAGTAGTATATTAAGAGCTTAAGAAACTCTCTTGTCAATCCCATCCCAGTATAAAGTGTCACTATGTTATTAGCATCAAAGAAGAATTATAAGTCTGAAACGACTCTTTGAAATGACAATAACATTTCTTAAAAACCTTGACGCTTCTTAGAACTCACTTGTACATTTACCTAGATAACGAAATGATTTAAACTTCTAATCTTTTCATTTGAAAAGGAAAGCCTGATAATTCAAATCACACGTCCACTGCAACAGTGCAAAGAGGCTCTGAATTTAGGGTTATTGATTCACAAAATCATCAAGAAAATAATGGACAACGAAAATTTGGGGAAATCCAAACTCCAAAGTGAAAAAAAAAAAAAAAGTGCATTGAAGCTCTGCATTGAATAGTCAAATCAGAGTTTTTATTTTCCTCAAAACTGGTTTGTCTCCTTTTCCTTCTTTTTTGTCATCGTCTTCAAAGCCTTTTCTGCCTTCTTCCATATGCTCATTAAATTCCGTTTTGTCTCTCTCCACGGTTAATCGCGGCACTTTCCTCAGTCTCTGACTGTGCCTAATTCCACGCTACTCCCAACCAGGTCCATTTCGGATGACCTGTCATTCTATCCCACAGAGCAAACCTTGTCTTAGTCCTTGGCAGCTGTTGGCACCTCTCTGCCTTCTTCTTTCTGTATGTAGCTTTCTCTGGTTAGGGTTTTGGTTGTTCTTAGTAAATTTGGATGATTTGGGAGAATAACTTCCATAGAACAGAGTGTTATTGTCGACAGTGTTACAAGTCAATCACACAATATTGTATGAGAAAATATGTAAGGCACTGGAAAGAAATTCCGTATATTGGAGAATGAGAAGGGAAGTCTCATTTTACATAACACAACGGATAAGAATGAATAATGGACGAACACCCATGCATCCTGAGTGGAGAGCTAACATGAAGTGGGATGTATTTGAATAAAAGAAGAAACTCAACTGATCAAAGTTAAAACGCATGTAGGTATATATGCTTCTCTAGATGAGTAAAATACTGTTACAGTAGCATTCATGATGTATTTAAGTCTCTCTCACTAAGTGGAATATTTTGAGTGAAAGTTTTGCCAAATGGCATTTTCTTCAAGTTGGGGCCTCTTTGATGCCATACTTCAATGGTCCTTGGTTAGAGATAAGTTTTCATGGTGGACCTCAAGACAATGGAGATTTTGTCTTGATCAAAGGTTGCATCTTGCAAATTAGGGCTAGGTATATGGGGTTGAAAACAACGTTTGCTAGCCCGAATTATCCATGGCAGCGCACATTCAAATCTGTCAGCTCAAAAATTATTTTATCTTTCTCAGGTATACCTTAACCTGTACTTGTTGTTTCTTGTGTGAGATTTAGCTTTGTGCATTTTTTGATGGTGATCTGATCATCTGCTTTTACAACTTTCCTCATCAATCCTGGCCTTCTATTTCCTTTGCTCTATATACCATATTGACAATTCGTTATTTAATAAAAACTGAACCAAACGTTCTTAATAAAAAAAAAAAGAACGTCCTGTTCAGAAAACTGATAATTCTCTTGAACAAAATTGCACCCTTGACCATGGATGATTTAGTTGGTCACATGCCTTGGTTACTGTTTGTTTCCCCAATATGTTAAGACTACTTTCTACTGTTTCAGAATCTGCATGATAAAAAGGCAGAGATAAAGTATGAGATCCCAGGAGCAAAAATAAATATAGTATTAAGCACTTTTACATATAAAATTAGAAATTAGTTTCTTGATAAGCAAACCCAAATCTAGAGGGATGATTCTGTGTTTCCTTGTTGTCAAAGCAAAGGATGACATATTCCAGAATATGTTCATGGATCATATATTAGGATCTCATGTGGATTTGCCCTACTGAGGCCTTTTTTAAGTGCTTTTTCACAGTGCTGCTTCATGTATGTTTTGCCTAGAAGCCCTTCTCCCAACCCTTCTGTCTAAAAAGTGCTTGTGCTTCCTTTTTTTTATAATAAGTATGAATTTATTAGGGATTATATGATATTGTTAGTAATTAAAGGTCAGCAGCCCATGTGTTTAGATCACGGGGGACAAAAATGCTTTGGAGCAACCTATAGCATGGCAAACATTTCAGCAATCAGCTTTCTGTTGATTGACCAACCACTCAGTGCCATGCCAGCAATTCTAAACTAAGTTTGCAAATCTGAACTTTGTCCAATTATGGTAGTTTAGTTCAGATGTAAGGTAGGTTAATTAGATTGTGAATTTGAATTTGATTCTTTTTTTACATTAAAAATTTCTTACGTTGAACAATAGGATCAGGTGGACTGTCAAACTCATTTACAAATAAATAGCTATCTGTAGTTAATTAAGAACTGCTTGGCCTGGCGTAGATAAAAACCTCACAGCAAGGGTCACATCCTTGTGTGAGTGAGTTGAACTGTCTGCCTGGTTCCACTATCAGAAACCTTAATTTCTCATAAATTAGAGCAATGTTTTAACTAACATTGAAAATCATTGACTATGATTAAAGTCCAGCATCAACTAAGTTAGTGAGTGAGGATAAGCTAAATTCAGATCACTTTCCATCTCTAAAACCCCAAAAAATAAATAATTAAAATCCTCTTGTATTTGAAGAATTCGGTTCCGCTAAGATATTCTCCATGGTATGCAAACATATCTTCCATCGGTACGAGTCAAAGTTGTGTTTTTTTCTATGGGAATTTAATAAATTAAATCAAATTTATCAAAGGTATTGGTTAACTTAAAGACATGTATACTTTCTACAAGTATTGATCTTTTTGCTTTTGTTGTTTTGTAAAAGCTAATTTGTCATTCTTTTCTGTAGAGATCTGAGCTCTCAGCATGACTACATGGTTGAACTCGAACTAGTAAGGTGCAAATCCTAAAAATTCCAAAACAGTAGAGACTGTAGAAAAAGAAGAAGAAAAACTTAGTAGGTAAAAAAAAATAGTGATCACCACACCACTTCACCATTTACTCTCCCCTCAACATTTTCCATACCACACAAATGTATACAAGCAAACCACATAACCAAAGAAAGTACATAAAATTGGCTCTTTTTTTTTTCTTTAAAAAGGGGACAAATTGGTGGTTTCGCAATTGCAGTCCACTATTTTGGAGACAAAAAAGACTCACAGAGGTATTTCAACTTCCTCCTGACCATCTTCGTGTAACTCACCAGTGCCAAGACTTGCAGGGCATGCCGTATGGAATACAGACTTAAATTCATTTCCAACCACTTGAGCTATCCTATGATGTTTCTTAATAATTGGTTAATTAGATATTGTAATTATTGCCCCTGTCACAATTAAATTGACCTCAATCAAAACTATAGCCCAAACAAAACCTAACCATCAGATAAAAGAGTGACTCAACTCCACACTTATTTCTTTAATCTTTGCGATCCGATTCCCCCTTATTTTCTCTTCGAAATCTCCGGAAAACTTGATTATTTTACAAAATCGACAATGGAAGAGACAATAACCCGCCAAAACACTCTTATCACCTATTCCATCAATCAATACAAGAAACCATAGGTTTTCACATCAACCCTAGTTTCTAGTCGATGTCCTCAAACCACACATTTGTGGTATTCTCCGCTATCTCCATCTTATGTTCCCTTCATCTCTTATATTATATTTCCCATTTGCCAAAACACAAAACGAACACAAATTTACAAATCCTAATAATCTCC